ATTCGACATTTTATTTTTCGATCGGACATGGCCAGATCTATTCGGCTGTTGATTCTGATCAATAAAATGTATGATTTATAGGGTCGTAAATGACTCCTTTACAGCGTTACAAGCTTCTGACTGAAATTATAGTACCCTGCAAAGGGTATGTATAATTTTCAAGCTGAACAATTTATAGTTTGAAATTAGGATTAAGGCTCGTTCCCCTTAAATTTATATAATATTCAATGCTAAAATTAAAACCCATAGTTTAATATATATTAATTTTAGTAATTTAAAAATATGTGAATACCTGCTTAACTCATTTATTTCCTCTGTACGACTTTCACCTAAGGATTAACCAGAAATCCCCAAGTAGAGAGAACTTAAAAAATTATTCAATGCCATATTTTTTTGCCCGCTAATTTTGCCGACAAGCTAATCCCCTGTGACCGTTCAGAGCCGGCCAGCCAGTCTGTCGGTGGGTCAGTCAGTCAATCAGCCAGTCAATCAGTCAGTCAGTCAGTCAGTCAGTCAGTCAGTCAGTCAGTCATCACATCGCTCAGCCAACAAACTCAGACTAACCGCCATTTTCGTCCACCGCCCCCGTCCTCCATTTTTCGAGAAGTTTTCCCAACCTCAGTGTGTTTTCCATACTTTTCTTTGCATCGTGTGCGTATGTGTGTGTGTCGCCTCTTTAGTATTTCTGCATGTGTTTGATTTCTTGATTTCACTATGTTTTATGCGCACATTTTTATGCATAAATTTTTGTATTTGTTTGTTTTTTTTTTTAATTTTGTTTTTCGTTTTCGACTTTTTTTTTATGTCACAAAAAAAGCGAAAGCGAAACCAAAGAAAAATACGAATGAGAAAAGCAGCTACGAATTCGAATATTTTCAATCATACCAACAACTTTTTTCAGATTTTTGATTTTGTATCCCCATCATCACCACCACCACTACCACCACAACTACAACAACAACAACAACAATAAGTACAACCACCAACAACAACATCAACAAGAACAACAAGAACATCGTCGACGGCGTCAATTGCGACGATGGCTGCCATAAATACGGTAAGTACGCGACATCGACATAAAAAAAAATTTAAAAAAACCAAACCAAAAGCAACAAAAGCAACATAAAATAAAAAAAGAGAAAACAACACGAAAAAAGTAAATTAACGCCAGCAGAAATAACAATTACGGGGCGGGAAAGAAAAGCAAACATCGAGTGTGCGCAATCAATCATAAGGAAGAATAATTTATGGCACATGACGATATATGTATATATATATATATTTAAATATTTATATCCAAAGCAATTTGCATATCTGACATATCCAAACAATCTTTTATATCCGCATCCCTCAAATATTTTGTATTTATTTTTATAATGTGTCGATGGAAACAGTTTTCAGGAGGAAGAAATGCTTTATAGTTGTACGTAGCTGGGGAAAATGTTTTTTAGCATTCAATTAATAAAATGGGAAAATAATTATTTATTTCTAGCAAGGACACTTTTTGTTGTATGCTTACAATGGGTTATGCTTTCATTGTTTTAAATCGTTCGTTTTAATATTAAAAATCAATTAACTTGATGGAAGAGTTTTGAAGATTTTATGACACTGAAAAATTCGAACTATTAAAATTGTAAATAAATAAATTAAAATTCTAAATCAAACAAAATATGCAGGAAATCTAACGTCGGGAAACCGTAATTTCTATATCCTTGCAGAGAAAATCCTTCATAACTCAGTCAAAAATTCATTAATTTACAATCGGAAAGCTTTCCTATTTTTGTTTTTATTAGTTTAATAATTCTGCATACTGAAAATAAAATTTAAAATTTTCAAATTTTTATCAATTTTTGCAAAAATCGAAAAATTTCAACATTTTATTTTTCGAGCGGACAAAGCTAAATCGATTCAGCTTTCGATTCTGATCAATAATATATATGATTAAAAGGGTCGGAAATGATTCCTTCACTGCGTTTTACGCTCCTGATTAAAATTATAATACCATGCAATTCCCTGTTTATTTAAAACATTTTTAGCAATCTTTTAGTGTTCCACAATTTTGCAAATTTAAAACTGCTTTCTAATTACAATCCCAAGTACTAGATACAAAATACCACCTTCAAATCCATTATTTTCTGTAGAAAATGTGTCAAAAGTAAGCCATAACAATAAATTTCCACAAAATGTTATAATAAACTATTTCTGGCTGTGAAACTTTCCCCCCCTATTTTCCAACTATAATTGCCACACTTGCTACGCTGACAATAATGTCGATGTCGTAAAACGTTTTAAACCAAATTTGTTTTTCTTTTTTTTAATATACATATTGAGTTTGGGATATTACGCATACGACATGTTGTACGCCAGCTGATATCCGTGCGAAGGCCTTTGAAGGCTGCCCAATCATAAACAAAATTAAAAATTGAGGAACACACAACGAGGATGGATGATGAATCTGCCGCTAAAGATGATGACGAGCCCTTGCTCATGAACGTGTTTCAAACATGTGTTTCGGCTCATTTTACTAATAAGCAAGCAATGGGAAATAGAAAAGCCCGATGACAAATTGCCGCCCAGCATATATGTATATTAAATTTTCCGCTGACATCATCTCGATGTCGGGAGATTTTTTTCATTAACATATCGGAGCCTCACCTCGGCGAGCCTTTGGTGTGCCAAATTCAAATCGCCGGAGTCTGGGCTGCAGTGGAAATATGATTTTGGCAGCAACCAAGTTTTCCTCCATGGCTCCTCGCTCGCTCACTCATTCATTCATTCATTCTTTCTCGCCAGCCTTTGGCTTGTTTTTTTTTTTTTTTTGAGTGACATTGACATTTGATTGACACGTGAATCACGCCGTAAAAAACACAGCCACACACCTCTGCACCCCAGAGAGAGGGAGAGGAAGTCCAGGTAGTACCGAAGTAGGGGCCGTGTCGTAACAGGATACGAGTATTTCTCGTCCCCGCAGCTTTGTTCACACTTCTCCTCCAAGAGATATGACAGCTCTCCGCCTTCTCATCTTGCCGGAAAAACGGTGGGGCTCATAAATCTTTTGGGGTTGTGCAAGAGAGAGCAACAACATATAATTACTTGATACCTGAATTGATTTAGCGTGAACATAATTTATGAAACCATTTGATTATGCGATAGCTGGAGTGTCCTTCATTTTCGATAAGGAATCCATTGCAACAGACTTAAGTACTGTTTTGCTGGAGGGTGTAAAGTTGAAACACGTTATGACACTTGAGTTTATTTGTATTGTATCTCAACACAAGACTAAACCTTGTTTTCATAAAGGTAGAAAAGCGTCTTGAAAGTTTGGAAAATTAAAGCTAACTTTGGCTGAAGTTTGTATAGATAACTAGGGAATTTGCTAAACTTTGTTTTGTTTAAATTTAAATGATTTTGATTGATAATATGTTACAGATAGTTTGTATTTCAATGCTTATGCGGTTCTTCTAAGAAGATGAGTAACGAAACATTTAATTAACTGAAGTAGCTTATTTATGCCAGAGTCTTTTGTTATTTTAATAAACAAATAATTAAAGTGCAGTTTAATGTCTACGTTTAATTAGCTTTAAAGTAAAGATATACAAATTCAAGTATAATACCAATGTTATTTCGTATTAAAGGTACCTGTTTACCCATAAATAAATGAATTTACGAAATAGCTAAGATATTTACGCCAAAATATAGATAAACAAACAATTAAATTGAATTTAAATGATTCAGTTTTGGTTAGTTTAAGATGTTAAAAATCCTCTTAAAACATGAAATTACTTTATACATGGAAATGATTTAATGTTAATATAATTTATGCAACCATTTGATTAGGATACAGCCCCAAAAACCTTAAGCAACCGATTGAAATGATTTTAAGGGCCTTAGATTTGTTTGCTTTAAAATGGAACTCGACTGATTACTTAAAGCATTTCAAAGCAGCGACAAGGTTATCACAACAATTGATAAACATAAATCTAATTTACTCCTCCTACCCATATATATCTCATAGCCCACTGGCATATTTAAATAAACAAATTGTGTGTTTTTGGAGAACATTAGCGCGGGGGCGGACAGAGATGAGTCGGTGGTCTTGGGGCCACTTGTGGCTCCATTTCCAGTTCAGTTCATTCAGGGAACTTTTCATTTCAGCTAGCCGTGTTTTTGCTGCTCGTTTTTTTATTTTCTGCACACAACTTAAACAATAATAAAGGCACTGTTTATTTACTTTACGTGAAATTTTATGCCAGTTTCAGTGTCTTCCTTTTTTTGGTTATTTTGCACTAACGCCGACTGGGATCTGAATGTGAATCCATTATATAGCGTTTGTGTTATTGTTTTGATTTCATTGTGGTCGCAGGCACTTTTGGAAATTTATGCCCTGCCATTTTATTTATTTTTATTCGCGTTTTGTTTTGTGGTTATGGCCAATTGCAGGCCACATTAATTGGGCATTGGTTGCGGTTTATAAAGCATTAATTGCCCCCATCTAACAACTGGCGCCCCTGCTGCCCCGCTGACCTCATTTTTCCTGTCTCTCTCTCTCTGTCTCTCTCTCTCTCTTAAGAGAGGCCAATTTATGACTGCAATTTTATTGCATTTAAATTAATATATGTCGAGGGGAGCTGCCAAAAGGATGGGAATGAGTTTTGCCTAAAAATACACAATTGTTATGCGAGTGCCAAGTGCGAAATGTGAATCGCAGTGGCAGAGGGGCCACACGGCGTATACTCAACGTTCTTCCGTATTTACTGAGGCATACTCGAAGTGAGTGCATTTAAATTCAATTAATTATGCGGCGCGTCGTCCATTAGGCGACAGTTGCTGTGAATTATCAATAATCTCAACTAATCTCGCCTGACAGCCATTGCTGTCGCGCCTTTTGGCAGCCATTTCGACTCCCTATCTCTCTCTCTCTCTCATACGAACACAACACAAACACACACATAGATTGGTATATAGGCATTATGAACTATCTTTTGTTGTGTATCTCGTAGGTACCAAAGAGCATACACCTGCCATTGACCACTCTCAGCAGCGCACCGCGCGTGTTGATGTGCAGCGCCTCCGTGGGCACCGAGGGATCCGTGACTCTGCAACTGAGGGATGCCAACGCCTTGGAGGCAGCCTCAGCCTCAGCTTCAGCCTCTTCGAAGCCAGCGGGAACAGCATCGAGCGGAGCAGCAACAACGTCCACGAATGGCGCTGCAACTGCGGCAGCGACAACGCTAGACAATGCGCTGACCATCGGCTATCCGGATCCGGAAATGTTGGCAGATGTCTTGGGCACCATACAGACAGCCTGTAAGTAAGCTATGTGAATTAACATAAACAAAAACGATTTATGAAATGATTTATGATGATCTTGACTCTTCCTCCCCTTGTAGCTCTTAAAAACCACAACAACAGCAACTCAATCACAGCAGCAACTTCAAGCAATAGCTCGGCCAAATCGGCTATCGGCAATCATCTGAGTAATCCTAATAAGATAACCATAACCAGACGCAGTGTGCAATCGGTTAGCACATCCACCAATACTCCCAACAGTAGCAGTAGCAGCAGCAGCAGCAGTAGCAGCAGTAGCATCACTAGCAGCAACAGCAGCAGCAGCAACGGTACAAAGACCAATACCAGCTACATTAAGAACTGCTTGATCCGCAGCAGCAGCTGCAGCAACACGGTCACCAATGTCACGACGCTGGCGCAGATTATGAGCAACAGCAGCACCAGCAGTGCGGCCAGTTTACTCAATCAGCACAACAACAACAGCAACTGCAGCAACAGCAGCAACTTTAGCACCGCCTCCTCTGTGGGTAGCAGCATCAGCATCGGCAGCAGCCATAGCAACGGCAGCAACAGCAGCAGCGGCAGTAGCAACAGCAACAGCAACGACAGCAACAGCAGCTCCGGCGGTGGACATAGCCTCAGCTTCAAGAGCTCCGGACACGGTCATAGCAGACATGTTTCCGCTTCCGGCGGAGTAAGCACAGCGGCAGCAGCCACCAACACCAACTCGTCAGGGATTGGGATTGGCATTGGTGGGATTATCAGTGTTGAAGCGCCGCGCAAGAATCGACCCAAATTATCCTCACCGACGCGACACGGTCCGCAGCAGTGTCAGGTGCGTAAAGATTCCATTGAGTTTATTAGAAATTAGGTGACAGCAGTTCTTTATCAGCAATATTATTATGCCAAAATTGTATAAATCCGTCTGACAGGCTGCAGATTGCATCCAATATGTTTTAGACACTTTCGAAAGTATCTAAATGGGACAAATTGGCAGCACTGGCATGCAATCCGCATTCATGTATCCGTGGTCTAATCGCTAATTTATTGCCGGTCATTCCTGAGCCCTGCCAACATGTCGGGGCAGTTGGACAGCCGGTCGAGTGCCGTGCAATATTTATAAACAGACATTAAGGTCGTCTCGGCCAAGTGGCAGGTGAAACGCGCAGAGCTCTCGAAAGTGCCACCGCCGCAGCCTCTCACTCGCTCCGGCCGTAAAAGTGCGCCGCATCGGCACTTGGAACTAACATGATGGCCCATAGTCCGGCTGTGTTTATACACAGCGCTAATTGAGCAGAGAGCCCCGTCTAGTTGGTAATATATGTGATGTACTAGAAGCTGGTTTGGCCAGAGAATTGCTAGAACTGATCATTTTAGGAGGGAAAACCATCAAAGGATAGAAATCATTTACAACAGAAGTCTTTGAAATCGTTCCTCTTTGCACTGAGGGAAATTAAAAAGGAAGCTGGGTGATTGAAGTTACAAATTTAAGATATTTATATACTTTATAGCTGCCACAATTACAAGTTGTCTTCAAATACTAAAATATACATATAATTTGGCAGTGGAATTGAAGTATGTACGACAATTCTTTGGGAGACCAGTTTTTCCAATTGCTGCTTTTCAACAAAATTTAAATGATTTTCAGCAAGAGCTGCACCTTTTATAAAAATAATTAAGAAAAGAATATTAATTGATTTTTGAGTGTTTACACTGTATAATTTATGTTTTAATTAAATTCTATAAAGGTTCCAGTGGGCTCTAAACTTTACTTAATAACACGAAAACATAAACTACCTTTTTTGGCCTAAGTAAATCAGGATTTGAAACTTGTTACACTCAATTGAGGTTCTTAAAAGTCTTTAATTGATTTTGAAAATACCATTTTGTTCTGTGGAAAATTTCCACACCAAAAACAAAAAAAAACCTCACCCACTGACTTATCAAACGACTCTCGCCCCGGGGGCATTCAACACGTTTCGACGTATGTCAATAAAACTGACAGCCGCTCAAAGTGTCGGGGCTTCAAGTCCTCCTCCTATTTAATTTTTTTTTGCAAGAGTTCGGCGGTAAAGTACATTTTATGACGCGTTTTACGATACTGCGGATGCCAGAAGGAGGCGTTGGGTCAGCTGTGGCAGCTTTGGTGGCCACATGAGGGACATGGGGGATGGGATGCCCTATTTTGCCGCCTGCTGCAGGAATTCAAATTGAAGCACACATAGTTTGGGGTGCAATGTGGCCCAGCTTTTGCCTGGTTTTGGGTTGGAATTCGACATTCGGTGTTCGGTGTTCGGTTGTTCGGAATTTGGTGGTCGTAATTAGTCTGCGGTGTGTTGTGGCCGAAAAAAAAGCCAACATAACGTATACGCAATGTGGCTCATTAAAATGTTCGGGCCGCAGCGCTTTCAATTATCTAGAGGGCAGCAGCCAACAGCCGACAGTCGACAGCCGCTAATTACACCCTCCCCTCGGTCTGCTCTTTTTATAGACTTGTTGCAAGATCTTTGGAAATGCCTCGGCGCTGGCCAAGCACAAACTGACGCACAGCGACGAGCGGAAATACATCTGTGCGCTCTGCTCGAAGGCATTCAAGCGGCAAGATCACTTGTGAGTAAATGGCGCAGAGCCACCGATCTATTGGTCCACTAATCCACTGATCCATTGATCTCCACCCCCGGTATCCCATCCCCAGAAACGGACACATGATGACTCATCGGAACAAGAAGCCTTACGAGTGTAAGGCGGATGGCTGCGGCAAATCCTACTGCGACGCCCGCTCCCTGCGACGGCACTCGGAGAATCACCATGCGGGTGGTGCCACCACGCCCACCACCACCAGCCAGCAGTCACTCTCGCCCACCGCCAGCTCGAGCGGAGCGAGCAGCAGCAGCAGCAGCGGTGTGGGTGTGGCCACCAGTTCGCTGAGTCTCTCGCCGGCCACGGCCAGCGGGGATGCCAGCTCTCCGGACGGAGCCACCTGCATTCGCACGTACATCTCCACAGGGAGCTCGGTGGTGGATGCGGCCACCGGCATCGCATTGTCGGATGAGCAGATCAAGGCCATGAACCTGCCGATCAAGACGGGTGTGACCCTGCTATCGCCCACCACTTCGACATCGTCAAATGCCTCCTCCACGGCCTCGTCATCGTCCTCAGCCTCTGCCTCTGCCTCTATCTCGTCACTCTCCTCGGCGACATCTGGTATAGGTTTGACAGCGGGATCGTCACCTTCTGGCGGTGGCACTGTGATAGCCACCAGTTCGCCAGCGCCGACCATCACGCTCAGCGATGGTATGAGCCTCGAGGGCGAGGGCCTCACCAGGGAGCAGCTGGACCTCATCAGCAAGATCATGCAGCAGACGAAGCAAACGAGCGCCCAGGTCACCGTCTCCTCGCCCACCAGCGTCAGCTCCTACAAGATCAACACGAATTCGGCGCCGTCGCAGGCCAGGCCAAGGACCTGGAACATGCAATTGGTAGGCAAAGGACTCATTTTATATTTAATTTGTTTAATTATTATTTATAATCCCTGCAGCTCAACAATGCACAGAATGTGACGGTCACCGTTGAGGACAACACCGATTTGGTGGCTCCTTCATCTAGTTCTCCTGTGGAGGTCAAAGAGGAGGAACTGAGTCCCCAGTTAGTGGCCGCCATCAATCCCCACCTGCTCAATATTGTGAAGCTCGACAAGCCCGTCGAGTGTAATCTATGTCACCGAAAGTTCAAAAACATACCCGCCCTTAATGGGCACATGCGTCTCCATGGTGGTTACTACAAGAAGGATCCGGAAACCAAGCGCAGTGAGAAAAAGGACTCCAGTGGTCCACCCCTGCAGACGGCCAGCATTGGAGTCAGAGCCCTCATCGAGGAGAAGATCATCAGCAAGCGCAAGGATATGACAAAGGTGAGTGGCATAAGATCTTTTAGATCCTTGACAATATATACAAAATAAATAATCTCTAAAAACTACCTTACTAACTCCAACAAATCTTAATTTCCCAGGGTTCCTTTGTGGTTCCCGCACCGCCTCATAGCAGCGGCACCACCACCACCCTACGTCGATCCATCAGCGATCTGGAGAGTTTCCTCAATCCCAAGAGCAGCTCCAGTGGTCACACCCAGACCCTGACCACCAGCACTGGCACCACCACAGCGGTGCTTCCGGCGGCCACCACCATTAAGAGCAGCAACGGGCTCAGCATCCAGCAGATCGGACTGCCGCAGAGCATCGAGATCTTCAGCGGCGGCCAGAAGCAGGCAAAGACTCTGAATCTGGGTAGTGGTACCAATACCATCACTATAACCACCAACAATGTGCCCACCACCACCACAATGAGTGCACTGACTGCCTTGAAGGCCGGCGGCACCATTAGCGGCATTTCCACGGCCACCAATACGGATCCCAAGGACTCCACACTGATAGAGCTCCTCAAGCGGGGCACACGCATTGCAGTGACTTCGAAGAAGGCACAGGCTCAGTGCCAAACGACGTCCGGTGTCTTAATGACATCCAGTTCCACGGCCACGCAATCGATGGGCACCCTCACCGAGTTAACCACCATTGGCGGAAGCAGTGTCCAGACAGTGGGACGTCAGATTATCACAAACAACAATCGCACCGTGATCATACCCTCCGATGTCCAAGTAGTGTCCACCAAGAGCAAACTAAGCAGCCTGACCAGTCTGGTGAAGAGCACTAGCACCTCCACCTCCAGTTCCACCAACACCAGCTGCTCCTCGAGCAATATCTCGCTTGCTGACGGCACTCCACTCTCGCTCACCATAGCGGCCAGTCAGGAAGGATCCACTGGTGGGGTTCCAAGTGGGACTGAGGGTGTGATCACGAGCGGAGGCGGCGGTGTCTACACTGTGACCTACACCAGCGATGGCACCGATCTGTTCGACGACGCCGAGGTTTACAACGTGTCCGACACGGAGATGCTGCTGCAAACGGTGGACTCGATGGAGCTGCTCAACGATGACGAGGAGGAGCCACAGATCAAGAGCGAACATTCCGAGGACTTTGCCCTGCTGAGCGAGGCTGGGGACAGTGAGCACACGCAGCTGGTGAAGCTGGAGACGGAGAGCGTGCAGAGCGGCTGCAACACCTCCTCTGGAGGAGCGGGAGCGGGAGCCAATACCACACCGCTGCCCACCTTCCAGCAATTCCATTCCAAGGAGCTGATCATGCAGAACAGTTCGCAGATCCAGGCCATTGCCAGTATGCGGGCCAGCGGAAATGGTGCTGGTACTGGTAATGGCAGTGGCGTCCTGGCCTCGCCGCTCCACTCACCGCTGGCTTATCCCACGCCACCGTCGAGCCACGAGAACATGGCCCAAAGCTCGCCCTTCATCGAAGATGCGGCTGCTCAGTTTGTAGACGCCAGCAACACCTTCTTCGGTGATAAGACAGACTTCTCGCACATCTACTTCAAGACGGATGAGGGCCAGGCCACCATCGAGCAGATGAACGAGCATGACAATGAGAAGATCCTCAAGCTCAAGTCGGTGCTGGAGGAGAGTAGCTTCGATCCGTCCATCAAGGTGGAGGATCTGCTCAATGGCACTGATGACGACACTGAGTGCGATCTGCGTGAGTTCGCCGAAACGAATCTGTCGTTCCTTGACGAGGACCAGGAGTTCCTCAACGATTCTCGCAATGCCACCTCCCCGCTCTCGGAGTCCTTCTTCACCAGCGGCATTGGTTCGGCGGAGGATGTGAAGCAGGTCCTGCGCGAAGTCCTGCCGGATGAGAACATGCAGCTGCAGCTAACCAGCGAGCAGCAGGGCGAGAATATCATCGATCTCTACTACCTGCCCGGCCTGGGATTGCAGTCTCAGATGATGCCCAACTCGGAGGACCCCTTGTTGTCCTCATCGCCCAGGGAGTTTGGTCAACAGCGGCAGCAGATGGGCAGCATGCAGCCTCTGGAGCAGCAGCTCCAGCAGAATGGCAATCTGTATCAGCAACAGCAGCAGCAGCAGCAGGAGCAGCCACAGCAGCAGCTCCAGGAGCAAACCCAGCAGGAGCAACCACAGCAGCAGCAGCAGCAGCAGCAGCAATACCAGCAAATCATTCTCCCCCAGCAAACATCAAATCAGGGAGAATCCCTGCCAACGGTGGTGCAGCAGCAGAACGATTTCATGCTGCCCCTGGTGGGGGGACATGGCTTCTCTCAGGTATCCTCCGGACAGACCCAGTACGTGGACAATGGTCAGGGTAATATACAGGAAATGCAGCCCCTCAACAGCCTGCTGCAGCCGCTGCTCTACCAAGGAGGAGTCACTTCCAATGGCATAGCCGCCGGCGGACAAGAGAGTTTGCTGCACACCGATTGTCAAATGAATACCAATCAGGGTCAGACAACGACGACTCTGGATGCCAGTCTGCTGTTCGCCTGCGGCAACACCACCAATAGTACAGCCACGACAATGGGTAATAAATCCCTGCTAGCCTCGGGGCCCTTGCCTGGCACTGTGGCCAATCTGCAGCCGCTGTCAAACCAAACCAATTCCATATTGAAGCGCCGCCTGCGCTCCAGTGCGCCCCAGGAGACGCACAAGTTTTCCAAGTTCCACACGCTCTCGCCGCACCGCTCCAAGCTGCGTAAGCCCTCCCGCACCCATTATACGCCCGCTCCGATCCTGAATCCGGATCGGAAGGGCACTGGACTCTACTGCAGTGTCCGCAAGCAGTTGGGTCTGGGCCAGGGTCTCTTCGATGCCTTCGACGACGACTTTGGGGATCCGGTCGGTCTGGTCGACTTCTCTGACGAGTCCAAGGTGAATCTGGGTTCCACTTACCAGGCACAGATACCCAGCTGCCGGCCGCCGGAAGAGGCTGCACGAGAACCACTCTGCGCCGAGCTAATGTGGAATCCGGAGGTGCAGGAGGACGAGAAGATTCTGATGCGCTACATTGATCTCAGCAAGTCATCGGCCGTGCCCATGGGCAGTCATTCCGAGGAGGTGGCGCTCCAAACGCTGCTCAAGGCCAGGGGCAACTCGGCGGCTGCGGTGCTCACCCTGCTCCAGACCCAATCCGGTGCCTTCCAAATGAAGTGGACGGCCTTCGAGCTGGAACAGTTCCTGCGGGGCCTGGAGAAGCATGGCAAGGACTTTGGCAAGATCGCTAGCGAGGTAAGTGTCTAGAAAGGAATGGAAGTTAAGATCTGATAAATAATCTTTATTGGCAGCTCCTCACCAAGTCCTCTGGCGAGTGTGTGCAAATGTACTACTTCTGGAAGAAGTTGTGTGTGGACTATAAGGTGTCGCACCTAAAGATGGAGCCGGTGGTGGTGATCACACCCGCCGTGGAGAAGCCCTATGTATGCGAGATTGCCGACTGCTCAGCGGTAAGTTGCAGTTGTAGTCCTTAGAAGGGGCAGCATGTCCTTGTCCCCAGTACCGAGCACGGAGTTGCAGCTCGCAGAATCCCAACTTAACCCAAGCTAAAGGCATCACTCAACGCCCCACCTCACCTCACTGGCTCTCTCTTTCTCTCTCTCTGTTTACTCTATTCTCTGTATATAACGCTCCAAAAACCAAAATCATACCAAAAACCCCGCCTGTGAATGCCGTATGTGCGAATGTAGAGCTTCAGTTCGAAGGCGGCGCTGCACGGTCATGTCCGCATTCACGCTTATGGTCGCAGCAACAGTAGCAACACGAGCAATAGCACCAACAATGGCAACAGCAGTAGCAACAATAGCAACAATAACCAGCATGGCACGGCCACTAGTGTCAATGGTAGCAGTGGCAACAGCAGCAGCAACACCAACAACACCTGCAGCGGCAACATCAGCAGCAGCAACATTAACGGCAGCAGCAACTACGCCTGCAACAGCAGCTGCAGCAACAATAATCCCGCCAGCAATGCAGCAACTGCAGCAACAGGAGCAGGTGCCACACACGGTAGCAACTGCAGCCAGAATTCTGGCGGAATGACTGGAGGTGCTGCCACCTCGTCTGCAACCTCGGCCACATCTAAGTCGGAACAGGGAATTAACGCCATACCAGGTGCCGCCAAGGAGGGCGAGTTTCCCTGCAAGGTGTGCGGCAAGTAAGATTCCCCCAAAAGCAAAACCAATCAAAAACCAAAAAGATATAAGCCATAAAAAAAAAAAAACACCTGTGACAATCCTATTCGAAAATTCGAAAATCCGCAAGCGATTTGAGTGCCCGTATATTGACTTGAGTTGAGATCGTAAAGCACGCTGTACCGTAAAGTAACTCCGTATACGAGTACTTGGTTAATAGATCTTGAGTTTCAATTTATAATTTCTACAACCCCTTGGTTTCCTTTGAGTTTTACAAGTAAATGCTTCCACTCTCTATCTATCTCTATAATACTATACATCTCTATATTTTGGCCTTGAGTTTGTAGATATTACCTATCTTGAGTTCGTATGTCTGTTTCCGATTTCCCTATGCCATTTAGTTAGAGTTTTCGTCAAGCGATATTAACTGTTGTTATTGTTGTTGTATTGTATTGTTCCACGATGCGAAAAAAAAACCAAAAATATTGAATCAAAACCAATATACCAAAACATAACCAAAACAAACCTGAAACTGAAACTGAACCTCAACCTCAACCTAAACCCGAATCGAATTACGAATACAATCAAATAAATCGAAATTGCAATTTTAAAGCGAAGAGTCACAACTCGCAAATAGACGTAACCGTAACTGATATCAGCTCCACAAGTCCACACAATCCGGCAGATGCCGCTGGCCCCATGCTCGGTAAGTAGGATCGCAGTGTCCCTTTGCGTTCTCACCTCCGTTCCGTTTCGTTTCATTTCGATATCCTCTTCCGTTCTCAGACACACTCACACACCACTCACTCCATATATTCTCTGTTCTCCTCTGATTTCGTGTACAATTGTCATTTTGTTTCTCTCGATAAACCTAATCACAGCGCTCGCTAAGTGCCTCTAACTTTTGTACATAATATATTTAAATATATATATATATATATTTCAACTAACACGGGCTCTGGGGCATACGAAATTTGATAGATCACAAAACCCGATCCTGGACCTTAAATCTGTAACTGAAGCCGAGGAATAAACCCCATCAGAAATCGGCTGTAAATATCCCTCAGCGCACACGAGATTCTCAGCTCTCAGCTCTCAGCTCTCAGCTCTTTCGTTTTCCTATATATTCTTGCTTACTTGTTTATTTATATATTTATATTTATTATTCTTTATATTTCTAAACATAAACTCTCTATTTTCCATAGTTAATAATAAACAACAAAAATTAGCAAATTTTAACTCCACACAAGGCTAAGTAAGAAGTGAACCAAGCAACAACCAGAATTGAAAGAAAGCTTTGAGTCTATTTCGCATCTCTGCATGAATCTCTACCAATCTAAACCTTAAACAAAACCTATACCTGTGGCTAAGCATGATTTATTAAATAGTAATCGCTGCCTACTCTATGTGCTTCATTGTCTCTAAATGTCCAATTAATCCGCCTAGTCTCTGCATTCTAGCTGTAGTAGTGCTCGAACTGGTGACCTCCGAGCTACATTTTCTCATGGTGCGCCATCTTCTGGTCTTTTCTTTTATTTCTGCGAATCCAGGGTCTTCAATAAGGTGAAGAGTCGCAGTGCGCATATGAAAACCCATCGTGTCCAGGAGCCGGATCAGAAGCACCAGCAACTCAGCCATCAGACGGCAGCAGCAGCAGCCGGAGCAGGAGCAGGATCAGGACTGGCCACCGTGCCCACTGCATCCAGCATCACCACATCGTCGTAGGACGAAATATGAGAGAAAAACATACAAAAATCGATTGACAATCGCATTAAGCAAGCAGCAAGCATTGTTTACCACTGTTAGAATTTATGCTTAGACGAATTTGAGTCTAAAAAAAAAATCAATGTCACGTGTACGTAGTAGTTAAAGGCATTTCTTCACTAGATCTATCTCTATCTCTAAATCTATCTGTATCTGTACCCCGATTCCGATTCCGAATCTTTATCTAGCGATCACCTTCTCTCTAAACTATCACCTAAGTAGCAAACACTTCGACTCGCTTTAGGGTATAAGTCTAGCCAAGGATTGGTACAAGTTCAAATTGAATTGTTATTGACTATATACATACATATATGGTAGGCAGGTGCAATATTTATGTTGGGGTAATCCATACGAATACGAATACGAATATGTAAATGTAAAATGTATACCTACCGTTTTTTTATATCGTAGGCCTTTATTCAGCTCGACTCGACTGTAGGTGTAACTCTATAACTATAACTACCAGTAAGCCGGAGGCTAAAGCCGAGGCGAATCCCGATCTATGATAGACATTAGTGCATAATCTACTGTTAACTACAAGTTTTTTCTACTCAAAAATACTCGTACATAGTTGCAACACACTACACTGATACTTTACTAGGGCGATAAGTGTGTAGCAAGTAAGAGAATCTCTATATATACATATATATACTGGACTAGGTGTACGATGTATGCGATATATGATTGTTGTTCTAGTTTTAACGACGCAAGTCACCCAACTCCGAGTAGTTGAAGTTTTACTTAGATCGTACTTAACTACCTACGAACCTTAACTATTGTACTATGGCTTAGAGACCGAAACCCAAAAGAAAACCCTAAACGAAACCGCAAAAAAAAAGAAACCCAAGAAAATCTAGTGAAATCAAGTGATATTGAGTGAGATCAAAAACGATTTTAGCTAAAACGTGAACAAAATTCAACTCTTACACACACATACCCACGATGTACTATATGATTAAACGATGTGTGGATGTGAATGTTGGGGAGAGTTTTAACTTTACTTTTAAAACGCAAAGTGTAGGCCGTAAGATACTGTAAATAAGAGTCTAGAAATCTAAACGATAAGGAAGGATATCTTTCAAATTTCTCCAAAACGCATAAAAGACATTAATCTATTGATATTTCTAGATACCCTTTCCCTTGGAAAAACCCCAATCCCCAAGAAAAACACAGACAGACAGAGAGGTAACGAGGGTTCAAAGTTCAGCTTTTAACTCTCAGAACAGACACACAGACACAATGCAGTTTTATATAGGCATAGGATATAGAATTATATACAAGCATATATTAAATTAAATGGTACAACAGTAAATCTGCCAGTAATTTGAACAACAACAAGAATCACACGTTTTCCATTTGGACAGTGAGCTAATGTACTACAACAAATTGATCAATTGATTCAACGTTTTGGGGGCAATGCAATGACCGACCGACCGGGTGGTATGTTATTAACTATGGCGTAAATTAATCTAGTTTAATGTAAACCAATGCATGCAAGGCTAAAACCAAAAAACCAAAACCAAATTAAATATTCATGTTTAGTCTAATACCTTCCGCCGCCAACGCCCCCAACTCTCGACCCTTTCCCCATACCGGAATGCAGAGTTGTCCAGGACCGTCCTTGCAAGGACTTTTCTTTGGGCATCTCTGCTTTTAAAGACAGACAGATAAAATATGGAAGATGGTAACTATTAGCAATTCTTAAGGTTGTATTCGCTAGTGTGACTTTTTCTTATCGTACAACAACAGAACACTAAGGATCAGGTGTGCTGTAAATAGCAAATTCAGAGATTTACTCCAAAGTCAGCAAAACCATCTCTTAATTTCCCTTCATCTTGTTTTCGCCTTCACACCTCCAGGATAGCATATATTGTAGCCATAACAATAGTCATAGGTTTAGTTGACGGACGACAGCATTCTGCATATTTTTCGGTGTTATATACAATAAGAGTAAGCAGATATACATTAATAGAAACGAGTACAGCTACAACCCACCAGGAAAAGCACCTTCGGAAAAACTACTGTTTGTTGTGGGCCCCTCGAAGCCGTTCAAAGACTTTCTCGCCTACAATAATAATAGTCCGAATCTACATCCTTGATCATATCCTTTTGTTGTGTGCATTTTCTCTACACAGTTTTTAGTTTTCAGTTTCCATTTCCGTTTGTATATCTCTTCTGTTTGATTCTGTTTCTGTTCTATGCTCAAATGCCTTCAAGCGTAAGTCTTAAGTATTACTAAATAAAGTATCCACAAATGAGTGTTTAACCTTAAGTAAGTGTTCAAATCTAGAGTTAATATAAGCTTAAGTTCAAATGTGTGTGCACTTTGTTGCTTTACAAGAAAGTTTCCTAAAGACAAACAGATCGTAAGAAGTATCTGCGCGAACGTCTAGTCAAATGCCGCCTAGTCTACTTTATTTATGTTTTATTTGATAAGTTTTATTTTACCTATTTATTTACTGTGCCAAAATGTTTATCGTTTACCAATTAAATGATTTCAACTGTTTCTTTTTCACATCTTTGACTCTTGCATTTTTATTGGTTCTCCTCAGGCAGTTGAGAAAATAGTAAAGGACAATCTGTGACATTGAGTGCTACTTTCACTAGGTATTTTCGAGAAACATCTGCAGAACTCAGCGCCAGCGACTCGTCCACACTCACCTGCTCACTCCACTCACTCACTCGACTCACTCACTCACTCACTCACTGACTCACTTTATTCGAAAAACTCTGCGTTGTGATTGTTCATTAAGCGAATGTAAAGAAAAACTGTATTTATGCAATACTTATACGTATTTAAATATATAGTATAAACTGTAAAAAACTCAAACTCATCAGTATATACAATTTGCATTCCGATTCAGAGGCATCTATGGTTATTCTCAGCATCTGTTTGCAATATTTTGTAAATCGTACGGATACACATATGAATGTCATACAGAAACCGAATATTTCAAATTAGAAAACGCAACTGGATTACTTCGAAATACAATACAAAATCTTTTGAAATTGAAAACGATTGATAATAGCTATTAGACATATCAATTTTATTTAAAGAAAACATAAGAAAACCATGTGCATGTTGTTGCATGTGCATTCCTGTTTAGAAAGTAAGAGGACATTTTAAGCGACGCATCGCCGTCATCTAAGTATTTACCGGATCCTCTGCGCGACAGCGGCACCTCCTTCGAATCGAATCTTTGCTTATATGTATCTCAGAGTATTTAGACTGACGAGTAATAATACAATATACGAAATTATGAGACGCAGCATTCCGAACAATTTCCGTTTCCGTGCCGCCGATCAAAGCAGAGGATCCCCCGGTCACCATCTGACAAGACAAACTTTACCGCTCAGTATTAACCGGGATGCCCGACTCCAGATTCCATCTGGTTAATCGGGCTGATCGGCCCTGCTATGATTAAGTACCGTATATACAAAGAGAACTACACAAATCTACGATGTAAGTTTTAACTGTAATATGCGAAAAGAGAGACACTTTTATAAAGAAGCAAACTGTTACTTTATGGCATTTAGTTGAGATGCTGTAACCTCTTGTTGAACGTGAATCGTACGTAGCATGTAAATCTATTTAACTCGCAACACGCAAAGGAAACGGAAAAGATAACATTAACGAAATATATATGTATTTATACAGTGCTAATATTAATATTCCGACATGAACGAATATTTTACGGTGCATCTATAAATGTACAGACAGACAGTAAGAGTAACTGTAAACGTAAACGTAAACGTAAATGTTTTCATGGTTGTAAACTGATGATCAAAATAGATTTAAACAATTTTACATGCTTTTATTTAAACGCAGATATTACTTTGACTTTTTGCTTTACACTTTTTGGTACCTAATAATATTTAATAACAACAAAAAGGCACTTACATACATACATGAATATATAATTATATATATAAATCTCCTTCGTTCCACATCGTTCATTGTTTTTAATAGACTTACAATCGCATGAGCGATGCTATGGAAAAGCAAAAATATTTTCTGAACATCACGCACTTTGATAAGAAACGATCAATGTAAACGATATTTGAAAAAAAGAAAAACAAAAACATAAAAAAATCATGAATATTCCCTCCAAATAATTTTTAAAAAATTATGTATTTGCTAGAAGTCAAAAATCTCTGATAAATGTAACGAAAGGCGACGAAGGAATGGGAGACGAGGTTCGTGGGGATTTTTAGCATACTGAGAAAGGGGACACTGTCTATAATGGAGGATTAATGTATTTAGCATGATGTTACCAGTTACATTTAACATAATTACAATTACAATGATTATTGTGTATTGCATGTGTATGTGAAATGTATGTAATTACATAAAAACTCTACAAAAAAAAAAAACACAAAAACCAAAAACCAACAAAAACAGAAAATGGAAAGAGAAACTATGGCACACTTTTGCCATTTAATAGTAGTCAATTCTTCGAAAACGCATTAGCGATTAAGTGTGAGGACAGCAGAGAGACGATATATGATATATATGGACACTATTTTCTAAACGTATTACAACAATAATTTATGAATTTGTTGGTAATTTTATACATATAATATACACGGTTACTTTTGTTAGCTAGCAAAACGACAACGACAACTTAGGTAGCGATGAGGTAGATAATCTTTATGAATGTTGTACCCAGGCCCAGTCAGGGCCAGCCAAGCCCACGCCCCGGTCACCCGCGAGAGCACACTGTACAGGCACGTACCTCACGGCAGGACCCCCAGAGTCCTGGATCCTACCAAGCTAGTTAGATCCGCGTCCCTCACGTTTTCTCCTCACAAACACTAGACACACCACACCACACTATGTACCCTGTACGCTCCACACTAATGTATAACTACTCCACTGATTACACCACTGATTACTCCACTGATTACTAACTCCGTTGGATTTGTTGTACTCTGCCATTTTTGGTGTGATATTCTATTGGTTGTGGCGGTCCCTTTTAAGCCGCTTTACACATTGTTGCATTTCTACTAATCGAACGAAAAACGAATACTGAAAGCCAGATAAAACATTACTCGTATATAGCCTATTATTCGATTTCCTGTTGTTGTTTTCGTTGTAATGGTTTTTTGACTTCGTTTCGACTAACTGTAACAAACAAAAACTTTGTTAACTATTTTAGTCCATACATACTTACATACATACTTTTAGGTTTAAGCACATGTAATTTAATCGAACATGATTTGAGCAAACTTAATGAAAATGAAAACTAAACTTACAAAAACACAAAAATGAAAATAAAAAGGTGGTCGTAACTAATTAAATTGTGTTTCTATTTAAGAATGGTTGGGTTTATAATCTTCAGATTTTAATGGGGCTTATGTGATGAGAATTTTTAAAGTAAATCAATGCTTTATAAATATCATAT